AGCAACCATATCCGTTGTATCTTAGTACGAGTATATGCAAACCCGATTAGATAATGATCCGCAAGCTTTTTTTTTTTTAACCCTCCAAGGGGTTGATCCCCTAGATGAAATAGCATAGAAATTTTCCTGTTGTGCATTTTTTTCTGATTCAATGACATGGAGAAACCAATTTTTTGACACAGAAACATCTGAAAGTTAAAAAAAAGCTGTGACTAACGCTCAGACGGTTAAAGATACAAAAATAAAACTGCTCATATAAAATTGGTAAACTATAAAATTTTAAAAATAATGCAATCATGATTTAAAATCAGCTTCATGATTGCTAACATGAAGCTGAAGTGTAAAAACTTAAACTTCGTTTGAGAATATCAGTTATGATAATTAGTATGCAAATTATATAATGATTCACATTGAAAAATTTTCGCTAAGCTGCAGTAAACTTACATATTATTATTATCCATATACAATAATGAAAGATTCTTTTGAGCAAAAATAGATAAACCCTTCTTAACTTTAAAAACTTAGATTTTCTATTTTTGCATATATTTCATACTCTATATAAAATGCTTATATATACAAGGACAGTAATAAACAGTTCTTATTTTGATCAAAAAGCTTATTTTTAAACACAGTTTGGCCAACTCAGTCCACCACAAGACGCTGATACAATTATGTACAATATAACCTGCAAAAGAAAAATCTATTTCAAAAAAGTAAACATTTTGGAAAATACTAAAAGCAAAGAATTTTGCTAAAATTTTAAATTTTCATTAATAAATTTATTACATTCTAATTATATTTGGTTATTACATTTTACCACCCTGACTCACCAAAATTCTACCAAAAAAATTGACTTCAGCATAAATGTTAATCTGACAATTCCAGCAACCCACAATATTTAAGGTTGTAATAAAATAAAAGTTACGCTTAATTTAAACTTAATTGTTTTTTTAATTGTGCCAGATCTTAGATATTTGTATAAAATGTTTTGATGAAGTGGTGATCAAAATCATTGCAAATAAAATTTGTTAAACCAAAAATAAAATAGTAGAGCATAAAATTTACTCCCATTTTAAATATTCAAGAAAAATCTTCCTGGCAAATCGAAAAAGTTTGTAAGCTTACATGCGTACCAAACAATTTAATCCAATAAGTTTCAATCATGTTAATCATCCTAATTATAATATTTTACCACTGTTCTAATATAGTTAGATAAGGTGAAGAAAAATCTATCCTGCATTTCAAAAAAAAAAATAATAATAATAATAATTGTAATGCTAAAGTTAAGTTTGATAGAACAGGAGCCATAATTGGTCATATTTTGAGAATTGTAAATGACATTGCACACTCTAAATAAGTCTGACAAAAAAAAGGAATGATCCCTTTGCTGTGTTTATCATAAGACAAATGCCTGGAAGGGTTCTGTCTAAAAGGCAATTGATAGTATGGGGCAATAATTATACACAGATGGAAAGCCTTGAGCAGAATATTTGACAAACACAACAAGGGAAAAGAGGAAAGCTACAGCTAAAAGGATAAAAAAGCAGAGTGGCAAAATCAAGTTATTGGGGATTTCCAGAGTAAAATTCTAAACATTTTACAAACTTTTGTAGTTTAAGCCAGCTTGATTTTTAAATTACCTTTTTTTTAAAAACTAGATTAAAAATTGACATAAATACTTATTAGGAGTTTACAGCAAATGCAAAAAAATTGGAAATTGTAATTTCTTCTATTGTAATTTCTTTATAATTTTGTATGTAAAAATTTCAAATAACAAATAAAATAAATAACTAAAATTTTTAATTTCTGCCTTAAAATTTTAGAATGTCTTGCCAGAAGGTAGAATGGCTATCCTGATAAGAAATAACAAACAAAAAAAAAGGGGGGATAAGAAAAAAGGTATTTTATCCATAATCTGTTCCAAATCAGGATTGGGGTTATCCATTTTTATTTAAATAAGACAAATCATGTGAAGAGGTAATTTATTTGTACCTAAATATGAACCTTGTTTATCAGTTGCTATTGACTGAAAAAATCTGGATTCTTTCTGACAGTCGAAGTGTAATTCAATATCTACAGAATTGGGGACTAAAAGGGAATCAGAAATGTAAAAGCTCAGAACTCAGTTTAGTCCTATCTGCAATGTATTCCGTCCTATGAGAATTTAAAATATTAGGATATTGCTACTGGTCTAGCAAAATAAGACACTTCTATTATTCAGGTTAAGGCGGAACATCTGACATACCTTGAGCCGAGAAGTACGGCTTCTATAAAGATCTCTTGGGAGCAACCATATCCGTTGTATCTTAGTACGAGTCCTAGTGTTTCAATTAATTTTAAAGAGAGATCATACTACTTTAACTCGACTGTCTACTGGTATGCTCTCATGTCTAATATTTAATTAATGAAAAAGGGAGCGCAACTCCCCCACAACTGATAAGCACTCATTTTTGTTTTCAACCCTAAACTAATTTTACATCACAGTTTAAAAAAATTTCAATGAAAAGATCCTAATATTTTTATAGTATTGACACAGATTTTATTCCACAGATGAAACTTTTGAATCAATTGATATAAAATTTAAACCAAATAATTTTGGTTTGTTATTGTTGCAACTTCATAAAGAAATTTTATTTATATTTCATTTTATTTTTGGGTTATAATTTTTTTTTTTTTAAATGTTGATCACCAAAGAGAAAATTGTTTTACAATTTTGTACTCATTATTTTAATTGCATATGTAGATTGAACACAGTTTTAATAAGGACTATAATAAAAGATAACACATGTGAGTCATTAACTGTTTAAGAATTGTAAAACTATCAGCACGTTTAGATGCTTATTTAAATATATTTTTCATAAAATGTTATGTAATGAGAAATATCAAAATATTACTTCATTATAATGAAATACTACTTTCTGTTATTCAAACTAAAAAAATGTGTAATAAATAAATGTAATACCTTTAAATAAAGGATAAAGAAATATTTTACAAGTAAATAATACCTTTATAACTTACTGCTAATTATAACCAAAGAAATCTTGATGTGAAAAAACTAAATCATACCATGTGAGTTACCTGTCTAATTAAACTGTGAAGACTGATTATTATTTTCATGCGATTTTTATCTATGTGTATGTAAATATTAAAAGGAAAATAATATAATGGTTGAATTTATTGTGCTTGCTGTTCCAGAAATAGCTATTGTTTTTTAATGCTTTATACTCAAACAATGTTTTACAAAAAGTGGAGCATCAAGTATTATTTCGTAATCTATTATTTAGGAAAATAAATAAATAAATAGAGTGAAATGAGATATGTTTGTTTCCCCTTACAAAAAATGAAGAAAGCAAATACACTTTTTGGATCCTAAGAAATTGTCAGGAATTCTGAAGAAAACAATATTTAGGTTGTAGGGATTTGATTTATTAACACAATCATTACAAGAAAGAAAAAGTAAAAAAAAAAAAAAAAACTGAAATTTAAGACAAATATATATTAAATTACTCACCAGAAAAACAATAATAGTAATCACTGTTATTTTCACATTCTTAATACACATGGAACGAGCTAAGTTTTTGCTAGTCTTCCTAAAAGTAACTGACTAGAAAAATGAAAGCACTTCAATATTAGTTATTACATTTTAATCAAAGGAGCAAGTATTTATCAAAACTAAAATATCCATCCTATGGCATTAGTACCATTATTCATAATTAAAATACCCACTAAATACTATGGTATTAGTATGGCATTATTTCATAAATTAAAATACCCACACAGTCAGTCATTTAAAGCCTATTAATGTAATAAATGGGTTTAATCTAACTTATTTAAACTAAGTAAAATTTGTTATAATATCACACACTAAAAAATTTATATTATAATATTTTTATTAGAATTTCACTTAATAAGACAACTCCATTAATTAAAAATGCCATATTTGTTGATTTTAAAGGCATACAATTTAGTTAAAAAATCAAGTAGTTCTAAGAATTTTTGACAACATAACTCTCAATATCATTTACAGTTCCCCAAATTTAATTAACTCAAGCTTTTAAAAATTCAAAATTTTAAAAAAAAAAACTGTTAACTGGCACAAAAGGACATAACGTATTATATTATCTCCCTAACACCCAGTGTTGAATTTTTTAAAAAGTTTTTAACTCATGAAAAATCCTAAAAATTGGAGTGTAAATGACAGCAAGAGTTATTTTAACAAAAAAATAGGTTGAAAAAATTTATAGGCTTTTAAAGTCTGCAAACATGAGAATCATAATTTTTAAAATAGTCTAATGAAAAAATAGAATAAATCCAATTAAATAGTCCAAGAGAATAGTTTTATGGTTTCCAATGCAGAATATAGCAAACTATACACTTTTATTTCTCTTAAATTGACATGTTTGGAAAACCCAGTACATGCAAATTAAGATAAAATTTAAAAATTAAGTGAATGCTTAAATATAATTGATTTAAATATAATGTAAAAAAATTCCGAGTAATTATTATGCAATTAACTGTTCTTCCTATCTAGAAATCATGAACATGAGCAATAAAAGGTTAACCATATTAAAATTTTATTCACAACTTTGAATTCAATATGTTTCTCATCCCCTTCTTTTCTAAGGAAGATATTATTTGAAAAATTTGTGAAGCCAAAAAGCTTTGGCTTTAAAGTTGAAGCCTCCTACTATTTTATTGATGCACTTTTTAATGACTATATAAATATTTTTTTTCTTAAATTGCATTTAACATTTGAAAGGATGTTCACAAATAGGAGTAAAATATGTCAGACATAGTGTTACCTTAAGACAATTATATTTCTAATCTTAATAGTTTTTATTTAAAAAAATTTAGATTTTACATTTTTTTCTCAGTGTTAATTTCTGATTCAATATCAGGCATAAATATTGCATTTATTTCCAAAAACTTGTAAATTACAAGTTAAAAAAAAAAAAATTATTAATGACTCATACTTAATATTTCTTTTTAACAAAAGCATAACAAAAAAAAACAAAAAGAAAAAAATATTAAACCAGACATTCCACAGTATATTATAATATTGAGTAAGGTAAATAAAAATACATGAGAAATACATACCGCAGAATTTAAATTATCAGTTTGGGCTACAAGCAACTCGAGCTTTTCGCCTCTATTAGCCACATTTTCTGAAACGAGCATTATACATATATGAATAGAAACACCTTACAAAATATACAACTTTTGCTTTGTAATAAAGTTAATATATTATAATCAGAAGTAAAAACTTATTTAAAATCATTGATAAGAAAGGGGGAAAATTATCTAAATTTTTTCATTTTTACAGGATTCATATTCAAAAATGAAGAAATTTTCTCCCACTTTTCCAGGTCAATTTACATAAAATTCCAAATTTTAAAAATAAAAAAATATACAGGGTATCTGCTACATTTTAGATTTTCAAATTAATTTTAAATTTTGAAGTCACAAAACCATGACATGCTACGATCTGTGAAATTTAACTCCATGCCAAATGGGTGAAAATGAAACTCTTGTGTAGGAGAAGTATTCCATGAGAAATGTTAGTACAAAGATAGCATGTTTGGCATTTGCCACATCAAACTCTTTGACTTTTCCAGATTTTGGCTAACAAATATTAAATTCTCTGATTCTTTGGACAATTTCTGAATTCCCTAGCTTTTTCCGATTTTCCAGGTAGCATAGCAACCCAGAACAAATTTTCCCCACTGATATCTGTCACAAATGAATTTGGCCGTAATAATAGTTAAGCTTTTCTTTTAAAGGATTCATCCATTAAGATGAAAACATGAATCGGTTTAAACCTTAATGTGATAATTAAGATATATTTTATTTTACAATCAGCCTACTTTTACTTTTTCAAAATTTGCTTGAAACAAAAATAATAACAAACGGCAAGGATTACTAAATCGAAGCCGCAAAAGATTTCAATTGCTAATGCTCAATAAAGTACTACATGAAATTACCAATATTCTGAACCATAATTTCTTTCAGGTCATCTATTTCCCCTTGAACTTTTGTCAGTTTATCAACATCACGACTATCAGAGAAATGTTTCTGAAACAAAAAAATTAGATTAACTATTATTTAATGTTTAAGTAAAAAAAATAATCATTGAGAAGTTATTTAAAAATAGACTTTTAATTAAAAGTATAAATATTTAAACTATGGAAGATAAAAAAAGGTTTTAGAGATTCCAATTTCTTAATATTTCCAATAAGTGTA